ACAAATCTGGGTAGAATTTTGATAGACGACATGCAAAAAACGACAAAAAATACGATATGCCTGTGAATTAAAATGACAGACACAACTGTCACCGTGAAAGGTCCGCTCGTTGGGCAGATTATACCGTATGATCGAAACAAAAACGGCGGCAGCGATGGCTATAAAATAATTATCGCTGTCATTTTATATGTTAAATTATATGAGAAATGTCATCGATCGTCATTTCCTAGCGAACTGGACGCCGTTTTTTTTCGATCATACGGTTCTTATTCTTTGTTAATTTAAAATTTGACTGTATCTACTGACAGTCTAACAGAACGTCAACGGTTTAATAGATGTGCCTGGACGAAATATCTAAATTAATTAATTATAATGTGTTTTCGATATTTTTATAAATACTACAGTAAATCTAGTTAGATTTAGTGATTTAGTCATTTTCATTATGTTGTTCTATATTCTTTTTTGCTTCTGGCGACACATTTAGAATAAATTAGAATTCTTTTTTAATGTTTATTTTTTCATTACAGTGACGAAATATCCAGCCGTTTTCCAGAAATGAACTCTCCACAAAGGTAAAGATATTATTAATAGACAAAAATAAAAAGAACAAACAACTTATAGAAACTATTTGATAATCTCGTTTGTCCCTATATTTCAGTTAACAAAATACACTTGGCAACGCCGAAATGCATTTCCTCCAACGATCAAAAGTACAAAACAAATAAAAATATGTACCTGTTGTAATTACTACTATGTACAAATGCGCCAAGCGCAAATCCTAACCTGCGGTTAAAATATCCAAACAAAGAACTTGAGCCGTCTAAAACGATGTACACTTCGCGAAAACCGCTTCTTCCTCTATCGCAACGAAGAAAGAAAATCGTATCGCGCCAAGTGATAAACCGTTTTCAGAGATGTCTTCGACCGACCCAGAGCGGACGCGTTCTTCGACTGAGGCCGGTGTTGCCAAGAGACACACGCCACTGCCGCGATAGGTGCGCGACGTAATATTACCACAAGCCGAAGCCACCTGAGAAAGAGGTGTACTACGATTGTTGGTCCGGTCAGCGGAAAAGAACAAAGAGAAAATGCGTCTTTCTGCGCCCTTTGTCCGTCACAAAACCTCCGCCAGACAAAAAAATCTAGAAGTTTTGTGTCATCGGAAGAAAAAGTTACAGGATGCGTTAGGGTGCGTATCCACCACCATACAATTCTTTACGTACGTATGTTTACACTGCTTCACTTACTTCAAGCACCAACTTTCATAAACTTCGAAAATGTATTGAAAATGATGTCGGATAATATCGTCTTAGCCAGGATATTTACGAAAATGGCAATGAATTAAGAAGGGTAATGTTGAAAACGATAGTCTTTTATTGGCTTTTGTCAGTCATTGTCATTGACCCGGCAATACCGTTATTAACTAAATAATATTGGGAAATGTTGAAAAACAACAGCTATCAGCAATATAACAGCTAACATTTCCTTGGTGTCTCTGTTAGCCCTCTGCTGAACTGAACCCAGACTTTGACATTCAATTTTAAAATCAATGACAAAAAAAAAGAACAGTGATGAATCGCGAAAAAAAGGTCGAAACCAAAGCTATCAAAACTCATTGGTGCAACTTCGTGTGCTAGTCAATTGGCGCCTAGGAGATGCAAGACCTAATTCTTCCCCTAGGAGATGCAAGACCTTGTCGTTGGTGGGGAAGCTCCTGCTCAGGTGCTGGGGGGAATCCCCCCTAGCACTTGGCTTGGTCTAAGAAGCATCTCACTCAACGTCTTGTCCCTGACTGTAGTGTCGTGGCCAGGGAATTGCACCAAGACATATAACGATACCGGGCGGGGCTACGGACAGCCTCAACCTTGGGGCGTCGGGGGGCACCCCATTGTATTTTACCCCTTACTTCTACATGCGGGGCTCTGTAGAAGTGGACCGATTGTCCCTAGCGACTCATGGGAACACTATGAGATCTGGTAATAATAGTAATAAAAACATCACCGGTGAAGCTGTGGGGAAACCCCCTAGCGACACTGAGAACAGTAACAATGAAAGTTCCAAGGGGCCAAACCCAAAGAGAACTACAGGAGAGGTGGCTGACACTTGCGTGAGACCATCCTCCGCAAGTGGCATACAAGTTACCACCTCCTACAAGGTGGACCAACCTCCTACCTCTAAACCCAACAGGCGACACAAGCTACCGTTTCGTCTACCCGGCCTGGGTCGTAGCTCCTCGACTGTGAAGGATACGGGTCTCCGTAGGAAGTCCTGGGACTGTATGATGAGTTATAACTCAAGAAAGGGGGACACAATAGATCTCTAAGGTCGCAGACATTAACCCCCCACCCACTTACTCTAAATTCTAGTCAATTGGCGGTAGTGGCTAGACGCTTGAAATGCCAACCAGTAGGCAAGAAATAAATAACAAGGCAAAAAATAACGAAAAACTAGCAAAATTGAACGCATGAACGAAACCGCCGTTTTCCGCCTTTTGGTAATAATGAATCAGTGAAACTGACAGGTGAATACGCTAATACTAATATCATCAGCGAATCTTAATTGTGCTGATGGTATTCACTAACAGCTCTGATAAGCAACAAGAACTAATAAATGAATTTATTACGATCAGTAATTAAGTAGGCCAAAACATGAAGTTAACCTAAACATGAAGTCAATTTTTTTTACAACAAAGGTCATGTACAATGAACGGTAAATATTCAGGAGATTGCAGTCAATGATATTACACTGGGAGTAGTAGATGAATTATTATCCAATTCTGTGGTATACTACTTCCCGATATTAACAGAAGATAAAATTGGCACTTCTTCGTTGGTCTATTATTAAGTCTACACCCAGTCTCCTATCCCTATGCCCTGCGCTAGCTCACGCAGGTCCTTGATAGGATGGAAGCATAATTCTTCCGATTTCCCTATTCTTTCCCTACTTTCACAAATAGAAAGTGTAGCTGGTGATCCAGAGCCTCGCAATGACAGGTTTCAGGATCTTTATCGCAAAATCTGCAGCAAAGACTTCCTTGATACAGATTGAGCTTGTTCAGGGAGCACTTGACAACCATATGTCCTGTCACGAGACCTGTTGTAATTCGCACTTTGGTCCTACTGAGCATTAGCAGTTCCTTTGTGATTGTAGAATAATTCCTTCGATGAAATATATGTTTGCTTCAGCGGAGGGTTTGTTTTTCCATGATTCCAGAGTTTTACTGCACAATAGGTTACGCCCAATACTGGCTCTGGACTAAGATGCGTCATCATAATGATGCTTAGATATATTACAATGGCTTTCTCTTTCAGACGATAAACAATATCACTCCACGATTGTCCTAAATTACAAACATCATCAGCTTAACAGTCAAAAAATCGGTTAATGTTTTCGTTGTATCAATTTGTTAACCCCTTAGCAGTTTACTATTTTTGCTTCAGGTACAATGGTGTATTTATTTCGTCTGGAATGATTAATCGGTATTAAAACTCTGAGTATTTCATGCAAACTATGCTAACAGAGCATTAGAAATTTTATTCATGCAGGATTTTGGTCAGAGTGAGCAAACAGGGTATCCAATGTGTGTAGCTTTCTCATGCTCAAATTTCCATTGAGTTTGAGATAAACACATTCTTATGACTTGCTATATTTGACTAGTCTCTACTATCTCCTCTTACTTTAGTTTCACGGATGTCTAGCACTATTTGGTGAACCTAAATATTCACTTATCTTCAGTGGCGGATCTAGGGTAAAATACGTCGTGGGTAAAGACAAAATTTGGCGCCCCCACAATTCAAAAAAATTACCTAACCCCCCCCCCCTTTAATAATAATCACAACCACCCCCCCACAAATAAAAAATATTACACACGCTCTAGGTAGCGTCTTCTATCTAAATTTTACTATTTTATTGTATGATGTTTGCATGGTGATTAGAGTTTTTACTGTTTTTACTACTAGTTTCGGACATACTTATATTTTGCCGCCCCTGTGCCGAAATTTTACTTGTAGGTATGATGTTTGCAGAAACTACTAACATACCTTATGTGTGCATGCGGTGCGTGATTAGAGTTTTTATCTGTTGATTTCGGACACATTTTGGCGCCTCTGCTTGGCGTAGTGGGCAGGTGCCCACCTTGCCCACGCCTAGATCCGCCACTGCTTATCTTAGGCAATGTCGGATTCTAAGCTCCATTGAACCTCCGTTTATAAAAACTATCAAAACTGCAGGATGGTGACAAACACGTGGTGTACACGACACATATTAAATATAATAATAATGATGACGCCTCAATACTCGATTTATACCCGCATTTTTACATTAATCCTTACATTGATCATTCAAGCGAATGCAGTGACGTAGCTACCCCCTACGTAAAACCCCGCGGTCACGGGGTCATCCTCCGATATAGATGGAGCCAGTGGCCAGAGCCAACAGAAAACGACTGAAATCTTCAGTGAGTTATTTTCAAGAGAAATGTTTTTTTAGTATTTTGCTGTATGAATGTCGCTGTATACATACAGAAGCTGGAACCTTTTTAGACCAACCTTGTACCAATTTAGGTGATTATCCCGGAAAAAATCAACTGATAACACTGATAACAGAGATAGCAAACTTCGGAGTCACGATGATACACATAAAAAATTGCAATAATCATACTAAAAAATTATTACAAAGTAGGTATGTAAATATTACCCTAAACATAAAATTATATATTACTAAATGCGGTCCTGTCCTATCACGTGACTCGCGACCAAGCGGCGACCTTCAGCTCGCGTACAGTCACCGACCGCAATACCTGTCCAATCACTCGGTGTTACTTCACCTAGTCTAAAAGAAACGGTAACCTCGACTGTACCTGAAGAATTTTCGTTATTTCCTGGGCATATGCTGTACGAATGCACTCAAAATAAATTATAATTCCAATCCATTAAACCTTAATCTCTAAATCCCACCGAATACATTCATAAATAACGTTTTATTTATGTAAATAAACTTACCTGAATTTGAAAGGTGCAATCTGACAGGCAGGTCTCAGGTCATCCTTGAAAATTAAATCATAGCTGACTCAATGGATGAGTTATCCTATTCCAAACCCTCCAAACGGGTCGCAAAAATATTCGGTAACTTGATTTTCACTTTCACGGATTACAAATCGGCACACCTTGGCTTAAAGTTTATTGACATCTCTCTATCTACCTTAATGAAATACGAAAATCCTTTGTAAATGTATCCAAAGTAGAAAAATTCTGGAAAAAAACTCGGTGTGCTATTCAGAACGGTAACGACACGACCCCGAAAAAGTTGTCAAGCGAAAAATAGTAAAAACAAAACAAAAACGGGAACGACCAGCATTGAGGCACTCTGTCTGTAAAAACAATGGATATGAAAATTAAGAAAAAAAAACATGACAACACGCCATCTTACAGAAAAGAAGCAAACTTCTAATAGGGGCATATTGTATAAATTACTTAATAAAGTTATTAGGCAACTCAAAATACAATGGAACAAAATTATAATAAGAATCAGATTTATAGCTTCCGGTTAATCATTAGTTAGATACCAGTTCAATTCAATAATATTGTTCTTCAAAAGGGTCTTTCTTTTTCCTTTTATCTATCATATTATTTAGACTCCTCATACAAAGCAAAATTATTCATAATATCAATAGGTAGTTTATTAACGTAGTTTTCATGTAGTTAATGAACGGGAAAAGACGTAGTTTTTGAAGAAAAACTACACGTAGTTAATCAGGTAAATTACTTGTTAATTAACTACTTCCGAACCCTGGTAGTGATGCTCTCTAATGATTCTTCTTTTTTTATTTTTGGCTCAGAGCATAAAAAAAAGAAAGTAGTTTTGATATTTTCTAGCTTTGAATGAATCATCTGATTCTGACAACCATATGACAACTATCAATTCATCAATTGTTGACATTTTTTTTGGTAAAATTTGTTTGTAAAATGTTTTCTTTGTGTACACAGGTGTAAATTGTTGATATTTTATAGACAATTAGTTGTTTTATAAGTTTTACAAAGTTAACTTGTAATTTTCCCACTGTTTTATGGTGAAAACTCTGCATTTGTGTTGTATAATGATGTATTAAGCTATAATTACTTTTAAGAGGATAATTAAATAATAATAAAATCATGAGGTCGACAACGAAAAACACTTTGCTCAAGGTTGTCATTTTGGGCGACGGAGGTGTAGGAAAAAGTTGTTTAATGAATAGATTCGTATCAAATCAGTTTGATGAACATTCTTTCCATACTATAGGTGTCGAGTTCTTAAATAAGGATATTGAAATTGACGGCGAAACATACACATTACAAGTAAGTTAATTAGTATATATTAGTTTATATTAATCATAATTTGCTACATAACAAGTGTTGCCAGAATGATGATAAACAGTAATATTCCACTGTATATTTTTTTTAAATAATAATACATTAACATTTTTAGATTTGGGACACTGCAGGTCAGGAAAGATTTAAAACCTTACGGACTCCCTTCTATAGAGGTAGTGATATATGTATATTGACATACGCAGTTGATGATAAAACCAGTTTCAAAAATTTGGATATGTGGCGAAAGGAGTTTGCCAACTATGCCGACGTAAAAGAGAACAATCAAGTACCTTTTATAGTGGTAGGAAACAAAGTATGTTTGTATGATTCCTCATTTAACAAAGAGAAATCGCCTTTAAATATCTTTTTTAGTCTGACGTTCCAACAGAAGAACGAGAGGTTTCACCATTGGAAATGGAGACATGGTGCAATGACAATGGAATTACGTCATGTATAGAAACGTCAGCAAAGAGTGCCAGTAACGTCCAGGAAGCTTTCAAAATGGCTGTTCAGCATTGGTTGAAGTAAGAATATATATAGGGTGTTTCTAACTGACCTTGTTTTAGAAGTTTCTAGAGAACTACAATATTAAAAAAAATGTGCTGACAACTGTGGAAACTTCTAGTACAAGCTCATCATCAAACAATAACCTCTATAATTTTTTCTATTTTTAGACTGGAATCAAGGGCAGACAAGAGTGAAACTGTAATCAATGATACAGTGGATCTATCAAAAAAGCAAACTGAGAATAGAACCTCTTGTTGCATAGGTAGTTCAGATGATAAATAAGTATTAAATTAATGCACTGAAAATGTTCATATCATTGTATTGAATTTACTTAATATTTTATTTTTTTTTTCTGACTGTATTTGATTTATATTTTTGTTTCATCTCGTTAATAGAGTTTTTTTTGTTTTAAAAAATCTGATCAAAATGCTTTGTATATACTGGGTGAAAACGAATTTGTCACACAGGCCACCAATTTGTTAATGTTTATTTATCAACACACAATTATTATATGAAATAACAGCTATTTACATATATAAAATGCTAATGTTTTTATCTGTGTCGTCTCTACTGAAGTAACGACTTGCTCTAGAAAGTTGCTTTTTTTACTAAAAGATAGCTAATGGGCTCTTCTAAAAACTGTCGTCGCCGGATTTTTTGTTTTTCATTTAATTAAAAAAAAATAAAAAGTATTGTTTTTCCTGATGTTGTGGCGGATGCGCCAAGCTTCAACTAATACAATATAAAGAACAGCGGCGTGCGGTCCATGGAAGCGGGGGAAGCACCGCTTCCCTAAACTTTTTAAATATAAAAAAAATGATTAGTTAAACGTTAATAATACTGTTATTTTATAACAAAAGATTAATTTAATTTGTTAAAATTATTTATATGAAACCTTACATAAACGTATCTAGTAAATTTAATTAGCCTTTTACTGCATGGATGCGCACCTGGGAATCGCCGCCGGTCGCCTATCCCTCCTTCATGTAGGTAACACCTCCATTATGTAGGTGTTATTGACCTCGAACGCAAACGACAAATTTAAGCCGGAAAATCGCGCACAGTTGCTAGCCACGGCAGAGATCTTTCGGCCGTCTTCCTCGACTTTTAATTTATCGGGACGGGTTCGCTTGCGATTTTATAGGTAATATTATAATAAATTAAATCCAAAATTTTATGATGATGTTATAGATAAATTTGCAAAGGGTGATAGACCTCAAAAATGACGAATAGACCTCAAATACAAATAGGCGCCTATCGCGCGTCAAGTGCTTCGGAAAATTAATTTAAAATATCGTATTTTAACTATTATAACTTTATGTGTTTTTGTTTGTTTAACAATTTTCGATAGAATTTTAATCGAACAATGGAATTGGCCTCGGAATTTTCAAAGGAAAGTTTTTTAAGAAAATGTAAAAGTAATGTCTCGAAATAGGATTTTTTTACCGATTCGCTTCCCCGCCTTAACCGCACGCCGTTGATAAAGAAGTAATTTATCTGTGTATTTAAGAATTTCTTTTAATAAATTTGTAGACATTTTTTTCAGTGTAAAAGTTTAATTCTCAAGGCATGAATTCAGAGTCAAAGAAATTTGAACAGATACTTCCAAGGAGCCAATTCTTTTGATACAAATTAATAAAATTAGGCTCTGTGCAATAATTTTGTTTATCACCCGGTATATTTAAATTTCAAAGAAAACTTTTGACTAAAACAATATACTTTTTATAAATTAAATCAAAACGTTAAGCCATATTTCGAGTATATCAGTATAAACATGTGATATTTCTTGTGCTTGAAAATGTTATTTTTGTTCTGTAAATAGGTTACATGGTCATGTCCTGTTAGAATAACATTCTCAGTATTGTTTCCTTAGTTAGATCTCTTTATTTTTAGGTTACTTAAAAGACACATATCATTGACATTTTGAATTTATTTTAAAATACGGTGCGTGTCTTACTAGATTCACTCATATGTATTTCTCACTCAGGTTAAAACACCAAAAAAACAATGTTTCAGAGTTATTCCAATACCGATAAATGTGATTAGTTTAAAACAAATCTATATTCTTATACTTTTTGTCTATTTTACTATATATTAGGTAGTTTGTAGGTATATAAATACGTATTTTAGGCTTTAGCTCAAATTTTGATTTATTAAAATGTATTCAAATACATTCCCACCAGGTTAGGCTTTTGTATAGCATTGTTTAGGAATAAATCGGCTTTGTTAAAATATTCTTTCATTGTGAATCGCTTGTGTCCTTATTTTATTTGTTATATTTTGTTATTATTCCATTATTTTAATGTTTTTAATCTGAGAATGGTCGCACGCTGCTGAGATAATGTTTGAACAGGTAATAATCTTATTGTAACTCATAGACAAACAAATAAAAAGAGACTGGCAAATTAAATGGCAAAAAGAGGGACAACGTTCCCGTAGCGCAACTCTATGTTGATCTGCGCATTGCGTCTATTGGGCCCACTATCTCATTCTAATATAAGAAGAGGGAAAGAAGCAGCCATATGAAACATAATTTCTAAATAGAAATTAGAACAATCGCCTTTCGTTTTCGTCATCATGACAACCAAGATGACAACATCATGACAATTCGTCATGTTTGTTAATTTTTCTTTTGGTGATTTACCTTTTTTTCTAAACTCTCCATTTTATTGACTTATGAATATGGAAATGGGTATTTATATTTTGTTACTTATAATTTTCGGTTATACCATTTGTTATTTTATTTGCTGCAGGAGCCAGTATCACCTATTTTTTATATGTATTGGTGCCCCCTTTCTCTGACAGATATGTTAAAAACCCGGTAAAATAAAAGTAAGTAGTTATATTTATCATCTTATTAAGAAAAAAGTAGAAGTAGTAGTGTCAAAAATATTTCGAACCTCTCTTAACATAACAAATTAATACAATTAATTTTTTTCATTTTTTGGGTAGGTAGTTTATAGCTGGTTTATAGTAACCAGAAACTTTATTAATATACCTATTTTACTTTTGTTTTAGGATTAAAACTGGACTTGAAAATGGTTCAGGATCATGATCCTCGTAATGTCTTCTTTGCTTGGATATTCACTTTGTTAGGCAGTTTTTCGAAAATGAGACTTTTAATGCCCTTTAAAAAAATTGACCGATCGTTTCCTGCAACAGTCAGTTCTTCTGCATTTAAAATTGGTGGTGGGTGGAATAAACACTTATTTTTTGTTATTATATTATAAAAAGTTTATTTATTTTTATGTATAAATAAATATGTTTATAAAACAGTACAATTTTTGCTTTTTTTATAATTTCCCTTATAATAGTAGTATTCTTTCGTTCTGAAAGAAACTGCAAATTTTCACTTAAACTGATTTATTCCCTACACCACGTTCCCTTTACGTGGCCGTGGTATAGGGAATGAATCAGTTTAAGTGAGGATTTTCAGTTTCAGAATGATAGAATACAACTAATAATGGCTAATTTAAATTTTCCGCCATCCAGAATGTGCGATAATGTCTTACGATACGTTTTACACCTATCTCTTTCTTTTTCATATAAAGCACACATAATAAAGAAAGACAGCAATAAAGACGTACGTCTTGCCATGGTCCTGCTAATTGGTTTCAAAATTGTTATTCTGAGTTGCGCTACGGGAACGCGGTCCCACTCTTTACCATGGGATTTGTCAGTCTCTTTTTATTTGTTTGTCTATGTTGTAACTCAAGTTCTGACACAATGCCTTTTCGGATTTATGCATTTTGTCCAATTACAAAATAACCAAGAAATATTGAAAACTCAACCTAACCTAAACCTAACCTGAATATTTTATAGTTTCAATAACTGAACTATTAAAAATTAAAATACTTAAATATTATGATAAAGCCACGATTTTAATATTATTTCAATGCAATCAACATCGAAACTGCGTGAAATAAAGAGCCGAAACTTCTGATTTCTGCCGTATCAGCGCTGCGATTGGAATTTTTTAAATCGGTCTTTAAATCAACTGAAATGCACCAAGTCTATATACAGGGTTGTTCACCACATACGACACGGAGTATTGTAGCTAAACGATTAGATTTTCACAAATTGTAAGTTTTGGGTTCGTTGAAGGTCAATTAGAGCTACAATTTAAAAATATTTTTACAAGATACAGAGTGTCCCAAATAAGTAAAAAATATTATAGTTATATTTTTTAAATGGAACACCCTGTATATTATTCTATTTTGGATTCTACGATTGAAATAAAGGTAAATTTGATTAAGGTTTATCACACTTAAACCTTACCGTTTTTGAAATATTTTCAATTTTATGAAATTGCAGTAAAAATTTTAAAACTTTATTTCTCCCAGGGTATCAAAGTTTTTAATACCAAATATTTACTGAAGAATATTTATTGATCAGATATTGTGTTGCAATAATAAAAATTTTACTACCTTATACAGAGTGTCCAAAAATTTATATTAAATAATTACTAGCTTTAAACCGCAATAACTTGTTTAATTTAAATGGAACACCCTATATATTTTACGTAAATCAGATGCACAATGTAATTGTCTATCAAATTTTATTATACCATTTTTTACCCATCTCTTTAAGTGTTCGTAGAAAATGCATTTTTTTTATAATTTAGGCCTCATTTATCACTATACCCATGGAATATTGACATTTCAGATTTTTTTATAGCACCATAATATGTACAAAATGTACAGGTGGTAAATATTGCAAGCCCATTGGCATACAAAATAAACTATTTAAATATTTATAAAAGAGTATACCAATTAAATATACCATCATTATTTCCTACCAAAAACACCAAAAATTAGTTAATTACATACTTATAAATTGTTTTAATTAAAACATTATTCTAAATGAATGTGGATTTGGCTCAGAAATCAATATAATAATAAGTCATAAAAATGAACGTGTGTTTTTATAAATAAACATTCGTTAATAAATGAAGTAAAATCTATAAGGTGTTGCTTTTTACCACACTGTCTAATACACACACAAAATTCAATTTTTTAGTATTTGGAGCAATTATTACTACAACGTAAACAGTCAAATAATGTAGTTTGAATACTGGGATCATATTAATCGGTCCTAAAAAATATTTAAACAGTTTTTTTATTTTTTAATTAAATAAGCGAACTAGATATATCGACAATATTAGTATCTGTACCCTTTGAAAATTTGTTATATCTTTAAAAATAAGCTAAAATGTCAATATTCCATAGGTATAGTGATAAATGAGGTCTAAATTATAAGAAAATGCATTTTCTATGAAAACTTGAAAAGGTGGGTAAAAAATGGAACAATACAATTTGATAGACAATTACATTGTGCATCTGATTCACGTAAAATATATAGGGTTCTATTTAAATTAAACAAGTTATTGCCATTTAAAGCTAGAAATTATTTAATATAAATTTTTGGACACTCTGTATAAGGTAGTAAAATTTTTATTATTGCAACACAATATCTGATCAATAAATAATCTTCAGTAAATATTTAGTATTAAAAACTTTCGATACCCTTGGAGAAATAAAGCCTTAAATTTTTTACTGCAATTTCATAAAATTGAAAATATTTCAAAAACGGTAAGGTTTAGGTATCATAAACCTTAATCAAATTTACCTTTATTTCAATCGTAGAATCTAAAAATAGAATAATATACAGGGTGTTCTATTTAAAAAAATACAACTATAATATTTTTTACCTATTTGGGACACTCTGTATCTTGTAAAAATATTTTTAAATTGTAGCTCTAATAGTCCTTCAACGAACCCAAAGCTTACAATTTGTAATAAACTAATCGTTTAGTTACAATACTCCGTGTCGTATGTGGTGGAACAACCCTGTATAATCTCAAAACTCGGTCTATACAGGGTGATTCCTGTAAGTTGGTTATGCTTTCGGGGAATGATGGGGGACGTCGAAATATTAATTTTGATATAGCACACTATGGCTCGGAAATGCCTCTTACGCAAGATACAGGGTGTTAAAGTTTTTGAAAAATTAAAGATTAATAGTTTTTTAACAGTTGAAGGTATCGTTATAAAATTTAATTATAGGAGTCTGCCTAACAGAGACACTTTAAATGTAAAAAGAAGAGGTTTTAGTTTCAACCAGTGGCGTAGATGTGATACGCATCGGGTAATTTTTTCAAAAAAAAAGTACGCCACTGATGAAAATAAAAATTTCGGAGTTTTTTTATTTACTTGGTTTAGTTCCAAGAAAAAATGTCTCTTGCAACTTTCTCCTATCTAACACCACTTTGTCACAATTTAAAAATAAATAATTTTTTTTAATGGGAACCTTAAATTTGCGAATTATTATAGCTACCTTAAAACTAAGAATTTTATTATTAACAATAAAAAAAATTCTAGTTTAAATTCAAATTATTTTTTCAAAGGAGCTAAATCTTGGCCAATTTAAATTCACACGTAAGTGATAACGGGAGCTGACGATGCGTATGTATTTTCTGCCCTCTAGTTATAATTCGCTGTATTTAACATTCTCATTAAAAAATGTATTTATTTTTAAATTGTGACAAAATGGTGTAGATAGGAGGAAGTTGCAAGAGCATAGACTTAGAATAAAATATAGACTACACTATTTACATTTAAGCGCGGTCCAATATTAATTTTTGTAAACATGTTTACTCCTGGGTGCAGCTGACCTCGGCCGTCTGAGTCTTTCGCCTCCAGCCTATGTTGTCACGTCTAAAATATTATTAATATTTTTTTTGTTGTTATACACATATATTGAGATATTAAAACTGTATTTTAATAAAGTAGTGTTTAATAGTAGAAAGATGTATTAAATAGTCCCTATACTACTAAATTATAAGTCGGAGACTATTTAAAAATGACAAATTCTTTACAATTTGGCAACACCCATCAATCGCCGGGTCGCCTGTTCATTCTTTATTCTCTCGTAGTAGAGCCATAGTAGAGTAAAGCACGTGTCGTAAAACCTTGTTGTCACAGTTTCGCCATGGCTATTTTATTGTTTTTATTGGATGTTTTGATTTTGTATTTTTTTGGATTCGATTTTCTTAGTGTGTAGTGTCGGTTTAGTGTTTATTTTGATTACTTTTTATTTAAAAACATGGTTCGTCAGTGCCAAATTTGTAAGAAATTGGACTATTTAAGTCCTGGAACAACATTCCACAGGTAAGTCAAATTTACTATTTTGGCGTCAGTGGCGTTGTAGAAAGGCGCTTATTTAGATAATAATTTAGTAAATTATAAACCCTGGAAAATCTGTATTTTTTATATTTATCATTTACGTAAAGGTTCTTACTAACCTCGTTATTAATATAACGAGTAGATACATTATTAAGTACATAAGAAGTAGACACATTATTTTCTTGGGCATTGGTTAATTTAATGCTTTTTTTTATGAAAAATGTGTTTCTTTTTATTCTAAAACCATCCTTAGAATCTAAAATAACATACAGGAATTCCAGAATGATATTCCATTATGAAACAACAATTTTTAAGGCTTATTATAAACTATAAACAATCGAGAAAGTCGAAAAAATTACAAGCTACCAAACATTTTAAAATACCAAACATTCCTTATTTTTTTTCAAGACTAAAATATTTTACAAACATTACTTTTTCCCTATAGTTTCACATCAGGTATAGAAATAACTACGTTTTTATGATAGGGTCACCATTATGATAACAAAAATGACGAACAATGGTCCAGAAATGTAAACAAGTACATATTTTTTGTAAATATTTTTCTTACCGCTTGCATTTTTGTCCATTATTATTTCACAAATTATACAGGGTTATGTAAACCAGGTAGATATTTCGTTTTTTTTATATTAAACAAAGATAAAATAAATATGCCATTTTAAAATTTATCCAGTACTTACCTAGAGTTTTTTCTTTTTTTTTCTCGACTGTTAATCTATTATTAATTTGTAATACCGTATGATCGAAAAAAACGGCGTCCAGTTGGCTTGGAAAAAACCATCGATACATACTCCATATAATTTTACATATAAAATGACAGCGATCTTCATTTCATAGCCATCGCTGACGCCGTTTTTTTTCGATTATAAGGTATAATTTTCATTTTTTCTTTTATAATGTAATATCACTTAAGTAATATCACATATAATCTGAAGATAGTTTTAGAATTAACCAAAACGTAAATCTTTAATAAAACAATCTGTTATTATTTGCCATATATGTATGTATCCAAGAAAATAATTTACATATTATTATTATATGTTTTACTGTTTTTTATCTTTATTTGAAACTCAGAAATGTTGCATTGGCTTTCTAAAAAAATGAACTTGTAAGTTTTTAAAATGCTTCGTTTCGGAGATACAGGGTGTAGAAGTTTCATTTTTATTTCGATTTTTTTCCAAATAATTTCTGAAGTGACGTCAATATTTGGACGAAAATTGGCGTTTGGGAGTTTTTTGACATGAAAAATTAGATTTAGATGTCAATTTGACTTTTACTAATAGGGGGCGCCACCTACATATTTTTTAAGTTATTTGAAGAGTAATACTTTTTGTCTGTATCTATATAAAACTACTGAGAAAAATTTACATTTCCAACGTTTTTTACTTAATAAGGTCTCTTGTTGACACTCGCCACAAGTATAGTTCTCAAGATATTTGGAAACGAATTAATCAATACATTCTTCATAAATTATTTGGAAAAAAGCGAAATAAAAATGAAATTTCTACACTCTGTATCTCTGAAACGAAGCATTTTAGGACATAAATTTATACTATTTTTTTTACTGATTTTATTTGCAGATTATGCTGCCAAAGTTTCCTGAATACAATTCCGACCACTCTGTATATCAAGATATCCCCCATTACGTACTAGTTTTTCTTAATAATTTTCTATACATTTTCCAACGCCAAGATGTACCAAGCGCATACAAATACATCAAGCTTCAAACAAGCTTGCACGTTGACAGTAATACCTACAGTAATATTGTATTATATTAATGTAATATTTTTGAACCAATGTTCAATATTACTGTAGTAATACTGTTTATACTCATGCCTTTTATATTTGTTTGAATTTGGTGCATATTTCCATTGAATAAAGTATAGTCACCATTACCATTATTATACTTACTCTATAATAAAGACAGTAACGAGTTAAATAAATGTAGTTTTCATTTTATTCACTTCCTAAAAGCTTGCTTTAATGGAACAGATTCCTGTTTTTTCTAATTTACATAATAAGACATCACTTTTACCGGAAAAAAAAATTAAACAATTATAAAGTTTTTTCTCTTTCTGTTCTATTATATCTATAGAATAGATCCTGTTTTGATTAATATTAGAGTTGTAAATGTTTGACTAAAATTAATATTTTATTAAATTAATAATTTATCATCAATTTCAAAAATTAAATAATTTCGATTATTAAAATTTCTTCTATAACACGTACTTTATTATTTTTATCGTTTTTAGACTCTAGACGTATTTTTTTTCTAAGTCCTAAACTTTGCTTTATATTAAACTATTTTCTTTATCCTAAATCTTAATAATATAAAAAAGTTTAAATACGATATATTTTTAATTGAATTATAGCTTCATTAAAATTAAAAAAAATACCCGCCTATGATACGGAGAGTGCAGGTGCACTGAAGAAACAAAAGACAGTGTTGTGTTGGGCGGCAGAGCCGTCAGGAAACGACCGTTACGACGGAGACAGCCTATCTATCGCTCGTGTCGCACTCGTTAGAGCCAAAAACAATAACACAACAATAACAAGACGTTGTCTGTCCGCATCTTCCAGCTATTTATGAATGAGATGCTCAGTCTATATTTTATTCTAAGTCTATGTGCAAGAGACATTTTTGCTTGGAAATAAACCGAGTAAATAAAAAAAACTCTAAAAATTGTATTTTTTATCAGTGGCGTACTATTTTTTTGCAAAAATTAGCTGATGGTTGAAACTAAAACCTCTTCTTTTTACATTTAAATTGTCGCTCTGTTAGGTAGACTCCTATAATTACAGTTTATAACGAACTCTTCAAAAACTTTAATACCCTGTATCTTACGTAAGAGATATTTCCGACCCATAGTGTGCTATATAAAAATTAATATGTCGACGTCCTCTATTATTCCCTGAAAGCATGACCGACTTACAGGAATTACCCTGTATACATATGTGCAGGAAATTAAGACATGAATTATGAATGAAAATGAAATAAAAGCAAATTTTATAATGGTATATTTTTTATATAATTTCAGTCATATACAAACACAGATTATAAATATCAGAGCAAGTTCATTTTTCAAATTTTGAAAACTTTCAAGGACAATTTTTTAGCAATCAAATCAGCACATTTTCGAATATATATTTTTTAATTTTTACAGGTTTCTGGCATACCTGATTATGTGTCAAAATATCCATAAAGCTTAAGCTAAACATGATTAAATAGAATACATTTTTTTAATCCTAGATTTATGAAATGTTTGATTGGATATGCGATTTGGCGAAATAATGATTTAATGATATGAAAACTAACATGTTTTTTTGTATGAATATTATATTGAAAAAATTTATTAAACATGAGAAAATTGCAAAATGTAAACTCTTTAAAAAAATTATAATTGTTAAGATCTTAGATTAAACGCAAAATGGTGATCGAAAAAAGGCGTTATAGTAGCCTCTGAAATTGCCATCGATATTAATTTCTAACACCTCTATATGTCATTTATTAAAAACTGACATAAAAAATCGTATAAAGTTAATATGCGATTCAGAAAAAATAAAAAAAATTATCATCAATTTTCAATTCAAAGGCTATTGCGACGCCATTTTTTTACTGTAATCTTGTAAATTTTATAAGGTTTAAATAACGCTGTTACATTTTGCAAAAATAATTTGCAGCAAATTATTAGTAGTTTCCTTGCCCTTAAAAGTTATAGACAACTAAAATGAATTTGGTATAGATCATATGAGCAACGATTTTCTTTCTCACAATTTGGCAAATATTTATTAATATTTACCAACAAACATAAGAAAAGTATGGCGAAAAAATAAATTACTATATTTGTGTATAGTGTATAAAATAGATTTTTAAATACGCTAAATATATGTTACAAAATTCCAAAATGACAACTATTTAATAATATTTTTAGTAAATTATAATGAGCACGTATTTACAAAAAAAAATAGAATAACCTAAGTGGCAATTAATGTTTCCTTTAACTATTTAAAGTATACAAAAAAAACAGTGATCGCCTAATGCATATGAGAAAAATCGATTTCACGTAAATGCAACAACAAAGCATATACAGGGTGACGCACATTATTTGATTGATACTCAATACCGTAAATACCTTTATTATTATTAGTTCGGGCCACCCTGAATCTTAACCTCTATATATTCCTATAAAATTGTGCTAAGCAAAAGGAACATGTTTAGTGCCCTTTCAACATATACTTAAGCAAAATACATAGAAAATAATTGGACGTAAATATAATTTGAAGGAATATGACCAATCAACAGTTGATATTTGATATAACAAATGAAATTTAACATAAAGTAGCTACTCCCCATTTAACTTGTTTAGATGATTTTAAGTCCATAAGTTGAAGTTTTGAAGTATATTTAAGTATATTGTTTCAAATACTATTTTTATATACATATATTAAAGGAGGGACATAACTACTAGTGTTTACATATTCATTCGATGACCAGAAGTCAGCCATATTGAAACCCCTTCACGATCTCGCTAAATTTGTTGCTATACTTCTTAGAGAGTTTTTAATCACTGTTATTTACTATAATCGTGAAGAGAAGAAATTGTAAAAATGGAAAGTAGCTATTTTCAGTTAACGTTTTCATCATTTAAATAAAAAGATTTTTTTTCTGAATTGTTTAGACCCAAAAAACTGAACAGACAAATCTTGGAAGGAAATAATAACAAAAATACTTAATTTTACATTTGATTGTTTACTACATTAACAGGTTAGATACGGACAAGATGTTAACACTTACTAAAAACGAATCTTCCTTAAGAAAAGTCTTCACAACCTACTCTATACAGTTCTATCTACTATGGTTGGAATAGTATGATGTTGGTTTAATTACATACTACTGGTAATCATTACACATCTTGTCCCATTATTAGCGGTTTTATATCTGACATTTTATTTGACAAGAATAATGTGGAGAAGAATCTCAAAGATATTTAAAGTTTCTTCAGTAAATTTCAAATATTTATTTGAACAAGGTCTCTCTTAAATAGGTGCTCATAAAAGTGTTTTGTAAAATAAATTGTCTGGTATAAAACATCTAACATCTGTGATAAATATATATAAACTATCTAAAATATATTGCAAAACGAATGTCCAATAAAAACTGTGAACTATATCACAAAAAAGAATACTTGTCTAACCGAAAATGGTGTTAGTTATCTTTGTGCAGAGAACATTCATCCACTCTAATCTCATCACACTTAGTCCTATTTAGATGAAGAATTATTTATGTAGATTGTTCACTATAGATAGTATTTCAAAAAATTAACTGAAAACCGAATGAAATTGATTTCACTAAATGACGCGCTGCGAACATTCAAGCAGTTAATGAAAACACTTTAACAGAAATGCACAGTAGTTTTTCTAAGTATTGAATAGCGTAGTCTCTATGTAAGATGTCGGTACGAAACCTTCATCGAATTCTCCTTCCAATCTTCTTACTCTGGTCCAGCCATCGCCTTGGTCTAATTCTATCAAATGGAGCTCTTCATCTTGGGCGATGGGTATGCTCCCCTCACTGGAAGCTGAAAGAAGAAATTTTCAGTTGATAATAAATATTTTTTTTAAATTTATTATTGTAGATTTTTTTTTAAAAGTAACAAACATTAGCATCGTTCGATTATTTCTGCTATTAGAGCCCCCACAGAAGCTCCTTTCTTTAGTACTGGGTGAGTCAACAATCGAGTGAAGTCCATTATCTCATTTGTTTCGAGGTTTACAAAAAAATTTAAATATAAAAGTTATAGGGAAGGTTAAGATACACATTTTAAAATTATTATAGAGTATACTAATAGCTTCAAAAAGTGTGGCGGATATAACATATGTTTTTTTAAATGCAATACCCTATTTTTTATTTTATTTTTAGATTGTGCGTAAAATTCCATAACTTTTTTATATATAATATTATATACCTAGAATTAATAGTTTTTGTAATATTTCAATTTGTTTAAACAAATGTTAAACTGCAGTGTGGTAAAAAATTGTCAGTGGTGCCGTTTCTGAAGTTGGAGAACCAAAATTTGGTAGGAGAGTTTTATAGAGATGAAAAAAAGATATGTGTAAAAATATTTTAGTTAAATGATACAGGGTGCTCAAAATATATTTACGAATTTCAACTACTTAAAATTAAAAAATCTCTAATTTTTTAAACGGGACATCCTATATATTATCATTTTTTCTGATAGATTTTGCAAAACTCTTCAACTTTTATTAAGTACCTATGTCATATACCTATTTTTAATAGTTTGCGATTTATTCTAATTTTTTCTATTTTTACCCATATTTTTAATACAATTACTCTATAAAATCATAGTTGCCATGACAAAACAAAACTATTTATTACTTATCTTTAACAAGTAGCTTAATAATTATTAACTTTACTCAAATAAATTAAAATCGCAGTCCTGAGTTTCTTGGTGTATTTCAATATTATGAAAGATGACAATTGGATCTTCCGTCGGCGTCGGGGCGAATAGCCACAGATCAGGGTAATACTAGATTACCTAATTGTTGAAGACTACTGATATAGGAATTTTCTTCGACATACAGTAAACTTTTTTCTCGTAGTAATTCTGGTTTATAATTCATCAAAAGCCAATATCCAATATTACTACTACCGTGAAACCGTCCCCATTACACACTGAATATGTTTTCTAGATAATCTATATCTATTCTTATAGTAGCAAAGTAAGTATAGTACATCTATTCTTATAGTAGTATATTAGCAAAGTACTATATAATATATAGTACTGAACTAAAAAATATGTTTTTCTTGGCTTGTTCGTGTATAATCAGTCACATTGACTAATTAATTTCAGGAAAATCTGTAACTATTATTTGTACCATTTATACTTATTACACAAATTAAACTAAAATTCAAATTTTGATCTTAACTTGTTAACAGACATGAAATTTTGATAATTATTATTTTTTGTCATGGTAACTATGATGTTATAGCGTAATTGTATTAAAAATATGGGTAAAAATAGAAAAAAATGGAATAAATCGCAAACTATTAAAAATAGGTATATGACATACTTAATAAAAGTTGAAGGTTTTTGTAAAATCTATCAGAAAAAATGATAATATATAGGGTGTACCATTTAAAAAATTTGAAATTTCTTAATTTTAAATAGTTCAAGTTCATAAATATATTTTGTCTTACAATCTTATCTTTACCTATATCTTTTTTTTACAATATCTTTACATAGTTGTTTTTCTATATCTCTATAAAATTCTCCTACCAAATTTTAGTTGTCCAACTTAATCAATGGCATCACTAACAATTTTTTATCGCACTGCAATCTAACATTTGTTTAAACACATTTAAATATTACAAAAACTATAATTTTAGGTATATAACATTACATATAAAAAAGTTATGGAATTTTACGCAGAATCTAAAATTAAAATAAAAAATAGGGTGTTGCATTTAAAAAAACATATGATATATTCGCCACACTTTTTTGAAGCACCCTGTATACTCTATAACAATTTTAAAATACGTATCTTAACCGTCCTTATAACATTTAATATTTTTTTTGTAAACCTCGAAACAAATGAGATAATGGACTTTACTCTATCGTTGACTTACCCTGTACAGGGTGGGTGAAATTCGACGCTTTTAAATGGAAACACCCTTTTCTATAGGAGATAGACGAAAACTAATATCGGTGTCTGGAGCTCAATTTTCATCAAAAACATGATGGAGAAAACCGCACATCAATATCTGTTACCGTTTCGGAGTTACGGGGTGTTTTTCAAAAATGTGCATTTTTAACAAATCGCTGTAACTTTTTTGCTATGGAAAATTTTGTATTTCTATGAAAACATTTCTAAAGCACCTTTTTACGTAGAATTTAATGGTTTAAGTATCATTTTTATAAAATTAATAATTTAAGAGTTATCAACAGAAAAATTGATTTTTTATTTGGGACACCCCCTATATTTTTAATTAACAGTAAAGAATTTAAAATTACCTTTCCAAAAATATAGCACACCTGATATTTTGTTATAATCCCCTTCGAAATACAGAATTTTTAAAAGTTCGCCACTTTTAACTAGTAGGCTTTGGATCCCTTATTGCTGTTATGCCCTTAATGGAACTCGAAAACATATTTTTCCAGCATGACGACGCACCGCCTCTGAACGCTGAAGTTATCAGCAAATTTTTGCAGCCAATTTCAAGAATAATTGAATAGCTAATCAAGATCCCAGCCGTTGGCCGTCGAGGCCGCCTGACTTAGTGCCCATGGATCTAATCCTATGGATATATTTGCTGAAGAATAAAGGTTCCTTATTCCGTATAATCTAGACAAGAATTAGAAATACTTAGCAGTTATGAGAGGGCACCTTTCACCCCTACTGAGTTAATGAATTCCGCGAGAAATGTTCAAAAACTGCCCCGTCTGTCCATAACAGAAGACGGTTGATATGTCAAACACCTGTAGCAAAATCTCATGTCTTGGTTTGCTATTTATTTTTATTGTTATTAGATATAGTTTAAATGTGTTTATGTTGGTTAAATATATTTTAAATTGTTATAAAATTCTGCATCTCTCATAACAAATATTATTTTCGTTTTAACTGATGCTCACAGCTTGAATTTTTTGTCAATTTTTTTTAAATCATAGCCGGTGCCGTTCAAAGCCTACTTATTTAAAGCGGGCAAATTTTTATATACTCTATATCTCGAAGAGGAATCGAGCAAAATATCAAGTGTGTTATATTTTTGGAAAGGTAATTTTAAATTCTTTTCAATAAACTAAAAATATACAGGGTGTCCCATATAAAAAATCAAATTTTCTGTTGGTAATTCTTAAATTATTAATTTTACAAAAATTATACTTAAACCATTAAATTCTACGTAAAAAGGTGCTTTGGAAAGGTTTTCATAAAAATACAACATATTCCATAGCAAAAAAGTTATTAGTTATGCGGTTTTCACCATCATGTCTTTGACAAAAATTGAGCTCCAGACACCGATATTAGTTTTTGTCTATCTCCTACAGAAAAGGGTGTTTCCATTTAAAAGCGTCGAATTTGACCCACCCTGTACAGGCTAACTGTGTAGGCCAGTTTTTGCGCAGTTTAACCTGTACTACAGTCTGACAAACGGGTCTGAAACAACGGGGCAACGGTAAGGGGATCGCAATTTTCTGAAATCATCACAGATTTCATTCATAAAATCGAGATCTACCACCCCTTAAAATTCTTGCACTTATTTCTGGGACACCCTGCATATCGTAAATATGCCTGCACAAATCAGGTTTGCACAGGCGGCCTGTACGAAAATACTGAGCGTTTGTGGGGGCCTTCACTTTTTATATATCTTTTAATTGAATAATACAACGTTTTTGTTTTTTTTTTCTATATATCGTACATATTCTTCTTCTTTTGATTACGTGTTTTTAACTTTATAATAAAAATCAGTAAATTTTAATATAGCAAAACACCCATATATCACGCAAGATTTCACCTCATTATTGATGCAAATATTTAAAGAATCGATAATATAATTTCTGTTATTAGTGATAATTTCACCAAATAACGGAAGTTTCGAATTTGTATACGGGTTTTGGAATAAGTAATGTGAATTAAAATATATTAACAGTCTCACGGTATTACCAAGTATTACATTAACATAATTTTGTGTTTTTATTTCGTTTTGCATGATAACGAAGTAAATTATTTTACTTTTTAGTAATAAATCTTAGTAATGTTTCACAGGATTGTGACACAAATAATATTGTTTAATTATTTAAATTCTGTTTTAAGTTATTTTAATATTTTTCTATCACACAAGATGCTATTCTATGATTTTGAAGAAAAAAAATTGTTGGAATTTGGAAATAACAATTTAATCAACAATATAAAGTGATAATATACAAGAAAATACTTTAAACGTTAATGAATTCAAAATCTAGAAATAGAATGTACACTCAACACGTGTAATAATATCTATAATTTTGGGTACAAATTATTTGGTTCTACTTATTCACATGCATGTAAAAATACTACAGAAGGTCGAAATTTGTACTTTTCTACAAAACAACTTTCAAATTGCTACTTGCTAAAAAACAAAATAATTTTTGAGCTAGCTTATAAATAATACACAATTATCAACTTGTTGCAACAGCCGATAGAATAGAAAAATAAAGAATTTCGAAGTATAACTGAATATTTTAATATCGTATTTATATTAATTAATATTTAAATTCTATGAATATTGATGTTAAATAATACTCTATACCTAACATTAATCGTCTTTGAGAAAAAAAATATTGAAAATTTTTGGACGAAAAAACTGTGTCAAAAAAATGTGTATAGCATAAAAGTCATATTTAGTGATAGCCACTGTGACATAAAGAAAAGACATGTGGCTATCTATTTCAAAAATTAAATTGTTCGAATGTCATATAATAATGGCCGCAGCTGTCATGGAATTGAACGATTAAAAATTATCATAACTCATTTTTTTCAAATGGAAAACCACTTTTTCAATCAAGAAAATATACGCTTTAAAACTAAATCTTAAATAACTTAAGAACGATTTATTTTAGGTACAAGAATATGTATAGGCAAAAAGTAACGAATTGCAAAACCTTTTCACTAGTGACATAAAAAAATGGGTTTCCATTTGAAAAAAAAACTATATACCATAATTTTTTAATCGCTCAATTCCATGACAGCTCCGGCCATTGTTATATGACATTCGAACTTTCATTTTTGAAATAGATAGCCACGTGTCTTCTCTTTATGTCAGTGGCTGTGGTAATCACTAAATTTGACGTTTAGCCTATACACATTTTCTTGACAGGCAGTTTTTTTCGTCCAAAAATTTTAAATATTTTTTTCTCAAAAACGGTTAATGTTAGGTATAGAGTGTTTAATCTCAAAATTCATAAAATTTTACAGATAATTTAATTATATAATAAAAAACGGGGGCAACCATTTAAAATAAGAAAGTTTCTGTCAGCTTCCGGTATTTCCGGAAGTGCCGCCATATTGAAAATATTTTTAATCGATAGATCTCGTTGTGAAACAATGATGTGCAAAAATCTCCGATCTAGGTATTGTAGGTCTCTAGAAATTTCTAATGCACGCTCAGCCTGATGGGGACACTCTGTATAACCTCATTCAGAATCTCATTCAGAAATTAGTGGAATAAATTAGTGGTTTCAATTATACTTTAGACTAATCAGGTTACGATCATTCACAATGTCAAAAACACAATTAAAATTAATAAAATATCCTAGCAACGGCTTACGGTATACTCTGTTTTTTTTCTCAGGTAAGATTTCGATAGACGATGACAGAACAAAAGCAGATGACGTCCCATACCAATCTATTTATTTTACTAAAAAAAGTTTCTAATATTTTTTAAGTTAACTATGGATGTGTTTAAATATAAATCCGTCATGCGTCGTCTCTTGTTGTTTTTAACCAGTTTTATTGGTTTATTTCAAAAATGACAGATCATATTTCAATTTTATTGGTTTGACGGAACGACGAACGACAAAGGGACGCCGATGCGTATGAACTGGCCTTTAGATTTTTGAGGCTTGTCAAAGTCTTGCCAAATTATAGGTTATAATTTTGTGTCAACTTATGTCAATGCGGTTTGGAAGATGATGCATTTTGATTCGTGTTATTACGTGTTTTGTGTCTTTTGAAGTCAAGTGGAGGAAAGATCTAGGGAAAATTAACTGTAGACCCAGAGCACAGGTTTACAGTTAATACTCGGTTCCCAGGCAGAAACTCTTATACACCAATAAAGTTACCATCAATAAAGTTTGTATACCATCTCGTCGTAGATAAGTGCATCTCGTATATAGTACAAGGATCGTACTAAATATATACTAAAAACTGGAGTAGCTGTAAAATATCGACAACACACGATAGGTAAATAATGGATTTTAGTACTGCAGAAAAATAATGTCAAAAGGTAATTAATTAACCTTTAAGGTATAAAATTTGTGTTATTATTAATAAAATAGTTTGTTTTATTTATGTTGTTTTCTTTATTCTTGTGGAATATTACAAATTTGTATTTGAACATAAGTTATATTGATAAATATAATAATAAATGCGGGTTCTTGAAGCTTGAAAGTAAGAAATAGTTCTTTTTTATATTTTTTGGGTATGAAGTGTTTTGTTCTTGTTTGTTTTGTATTAACACATACCGTTTTTTTTTTAATAAAATAACTCGATTACATTTTTTCAGTTTTATACAGTTTTTTTTCACAATATTTTGTCACAATTCACAATTGACTTGTCAGTCAAATTTTAAATATATTAATTTCCTGTTATGCGTTCCAGTTGTACAAACTTATTTCTTTATAAAATAAAATAAACTACTTTGAAATTAAAATGACAGACACATCTATTACTGTCAAGAACAGACTATACCACCAATTTTGACATTCTTAATAATAGTGGAACAAACTTCTATGCTAATTGAAACCACTAATTTCGAGCTTCCCTATTTTTTTTTGGTTACAAATCTAACCGATGCGATGGTGAGAACAGGAGACAATCCCTATATGTTTAATAAATACATGCTGTAAACTGATCGAGTGTGTGTGTCTTACCATCCTTACCTTGGAACGCGTACAGCGCCCTGCAGTATCCGATGGCCGGCACCGGTTCGTAATCGTCCCCATCGCCGTCCGTCCGGTCCGCGTCGTGGTGGTTGCCGTCGTAGTGGTCTTGGTCTGGATCAGAGTCGGCCGCGTGCAGCGACGTGTGCGACGTGCCCAGGCCACTTTCGGGACTGTTTGAACAACTAGGTCAAATACATGGGGCGCATTAAACGAAAGCGGAAGGAACAAGAGAGCCGACAGGTACGGGGTTGGTGGTAAGATATGGTGGCGAATATGTCATCGAATAAAGAGACTAGAAGGGAGTTGAATACTATTTCTATACATATATATTAAAGACATAAGAAAGGGAATCATGTAGATGTATTATTTCTTGTTCATTTTCTGTAAAGTATGTAAATCTGGAAAACGGTGTGTCAGGACTTGAATCCACAGTGAGATTCACAATACTCTTAAGTCTTCCAGCTTAAACAACGTGGAATCATTCTCTCGATAGTTTAATTGGACTTTTCAACCATGGACATATTCGGCGCCAAGCTGACTAACTGGAATTTAAATTTCCCGCTGGAGATTCAGGTGGTAGCTCTGCTGTAAAGCATGTCAAGTTATCACATTTATTTATTCATTTCCTGACATTGTCATTCGTTTTGACACTTGAATTGTATTGTGATACTTTAAGCTTAAAAATGTTTACTAGCAGACCTTGCAGTCGAATATTGTTCTTTTTAGAACCTCTTTTAATGCGAAGTGTACCAGACAGCTTAATAGCCGTTGTAAAAAAGTCATCCCAACCTTATTAAAATATTTTGAACGGGAAAGTGGTAGTAATGGCCTTTTATGTTCCTTAAGTGCTATTAAGGAGGTAAGTTTTGTTGAAATAATAACTGTTTATATGTTTATAATTAATTTATTTTTGTTTCCTAAAATATATTGATCTAAAGAAATTTTGTAAAAGTGGTCTACGCTGTGCCATCATATTGGTTGAGTCATACTGAAGTCCCTTTACGAACTGGACTAATTTGTTGATCCATATATTTCTCCTCTTTCTTTGTCTTGTTATTCAGTGACATATGATATGCAGTCGAGGTTTGATCGTGACACAATAGCTGTCATAGGGTTAGTTGTTAGTTTCAATGTATATCACATCATACAAATATAAAATAAGAAGCTGTATTTATAATTCAATTATTAAGAAAATTGCAGCGTTGTGCAAAATAAAACATTTGTATTTATATTCTATTTTCAAACTTATATTTTAGGACATACTAGCATGTCACAGAAACCACCTTTCGCAATGTCGTAGTCCAGAAGCTGAACATGTTGATAGATGTACATCAAATGAATTATATTAGTCAAATAATTTCATATTCAGTTAGTACCCAGTAAACCCAAATAGTTATAAAGACTGTTCAGCCATCGTTCACTGTTACATCATCATTATTTGTCAAATATGAGTTTTAGGGTGTGCCTGAGATCAGTTCTATAAATTTATAAGTTTAGCAATGAGCTCTTGATCATTTTGGTTAAATCATTGAGGCGTTTTTGCAATAAAAAAAATTGAATTTTTGTTTTACAGCAACAATCAAATTTTAATTTTGACATTGATCGATGTCCGTCATATGTCCGAGGCGTGTCATATTATATGACAATGACAATTAATAAAAAGAATATGCAGTAATTTACGAAATGCCGTAATGACGTCACCAATCCCTTTCCTCTGGTTGGCAAGTGATTGAGAGAGTTGTTAGACAATATATGACGTGACGTTGAACGATGGCTGAACATATATGTATTATTTCTTATCAGTTAAAAAAAGTATAATAATAAAAAAACGTGCCTGTAAACTTAATTATCGAATTAACAAATTTCAAATATTCAAGCTTTCTTTTGAAATATTACGAATTTTAATTACACTACCTTATATTTCTATAATTAAATTGAAAAATATAAGCACAACAGCCACATGTATGTTTTATAAAGATAAAGATTAAGAATAGGTAGCCATCTCTATTGTGCGTTTTGTTGTCCTTCTGACTTTTTTTTAATAATATCTTGACTTTATTAATTATGCTTTAATAAAAAAAAGTTCTAGATTTAGGGGTAATTTAACATTTATACTATACATTATGTTAATGAATGAAGATGGAAGCATTAATAAAGATCTAATGACACAAATGACGTGCTACAGAAGCGAATGTAGGATTCAGAAAGCCACAGAGGGAGTAAACAGAAAGAAAGAGGCATGTCTTACCCATGGTTTAATTGTGGAGTGCCTGGGGCACTCCTTTTGTTATGATTTAAAGTCGGATTCGTTACGCTACTATCACTTGCTGATCTAGAACAAAAATCGTATAAAATCATGTAAAATTTCATTCACAACTTAAAGAAAATATACACGTAAAAAAAAGAGTAGTTCAAATAAACCGTCTTGATAGACCGTCTTATAATTCCCTCGATAATTTAATTCATTCACCATGAATGAAGCTTTTTATTAATGAATTAAGTTTATATCTTTAAAATATTTTAATTCCAAGATCACTTATTAGTACATGTACTTATGAAAGTTATAATTATTGTTCATCAACAACAACACATTATTTATTGATTAGTTCAATGTCCTATTAAATTTCAAATTACTACAGTTAATAATTCAATAATTAATAAAACCAAACATATTTAATAAACAATTAACTACTAACTACTGCTATTTACTTAGTTACTTTTTACTATTACTCTCCTGTTAACATAATTAAATATATTATTGAAGACCACAAACGAATTAAAACTTTTCAAAATTACCAATAAAGTTAATATTTTCTTCCTTACCTGCTCAGACTATCTTCAGTTGCACTCACACTATTCCTATGACTACGAGGTCCACCATTTAGTAGACGCGGACTTCCTGTTACTGAATTGTTATGTCCACCTGTGAAAGAAATGTCTTTGATTTACAACTACAAATTTTACCTAAAAACCCCCTTATTCTTTAGCAAGCTGGCAAGGATCTAGTTAAAGCAAGGTAAATCTAGATGAAGTATTTGTATTTGTTACCTACCTGACTGTATAGCTTTATTTGCGTCTTCCAGATACCCTTGATACCTTAATAGTTCTTGATGTAGTTTTTCTAACCTGTGACCGCATTCATTGAGTTGAGCTAAAGAAAGATATATAAATAGCAAAAAGTAATCTTTAAAATGTAAACTTAAAAGACTGATTTATAGTGTGTGTATATTGCATTTCAGCAATCTGTTTTAGCAAGAAAAAAATTGATGCGATTTTACAACTGTTATTTGTAAATAACAGTTCGTGACTGTTGTTACCTCGAAAAATTAACTGTTATAAAAATATCAGTGCGCCAAGATTGACCGATCACTATCCGTAATCACCGCGTCTCAATTTTTACCAGACTTACATTTGTTACTTCCAATAAATAACAGTTATGAGAGTAACAGTACGCTGACATTGATGACTTGCAAGGGAAGTCGGGATTGCAGCCTCGAAAATGTGTAATATATTCCAGTAAACGAATTGCTAATATTTATTGATTTCGAAAACGTAACAGTCAGCAGTCTTTGTTAACGTGTTATAACTGTTATGGATTTTGGATATACTGATTTTATATTTTACTTCTTTTTGCAGGTTATTGTTATTGTTAGGGGGTTGTAGGTAGAAATTAAGAGATAATGATCATATTATGATTATTCGTAAATACCTAGAAAATTACTCATAGCACAGAATATCTAGCTACGCAACAGAAGCCTCGTTACATGTATAAAATCGTAGGTCTCAAAAGGAGACAGGCTTTAAAAGCCTGTCTCCAAATCAGATATTTTGATGTGGTAGTTTCACTACTGCATAACAGAGGGCGATAAATTTAAAAGAAAACAGTTTTCTACAAACGAAATTTAAAAGAATTTTATGCAGTGTTGCCATTGTGTAATTTATATTGTAATATTTCCTGATAAAGCCTAGCTTCAAATTTGCTACATCATTTGAACATATTAAGAGCTCTTTTTTCAAACGTTTAAGTATTTAACTTGCCATGTTAGTTGGAGTTAAATCTTACGAGCTGAATTAAAATCACTTCCTGACGTTTGATTCTAACTGAATCCTGAATTTTGATTGTAATTCGGCGACAATATAATAAGTATTGTTCTACTATTATGACACCACTTCCTGACGTTCGATTGTGTTCATACCGTATGATCGGGAAAAAACGACGTTAGCGATGGCTATGAAATGAAAATCGCTGTCATTTTATGTGTAAATTTATATGGGAAATGTCATCGATCGTCTGTTCCCAGCCAACTGGACGCCGTTTTTTTCGGTATCATACGGTATTTGATATATACTTGCGTATTTTTCATGACATTGCAATATTATGGTACCATGAAGCATATCAAGTGATACCGTAATATAGTACCATATTACGATACATGGCGTTCGATTGGGCTTAAACTTGGTATATTACGTATCTTCAGTGACATTGTAATATTATGGTACCATGAAGCATATCAAGAGGTACCATAATAGTACATAGAGGTACCATATACGATAGAGGTACCATATACAATACCATTTCCTGGCATGCGATTGGACTTATACTTGGTATAGTAAGTATCTTCGGTGACATTGTAATATGATGGTAGTATGATGCATATAAAGTGGTACCTTAATATAGTACCATATTACGATACCACTTCCTGACGTTCGAGTGGGCTCATATTTGATTATACTTGCGTATTTTTGATGACATTACAATATTATGGTACCATGAAGCATATCAAGGGGTACCATAATGTAGTACCATATTACGATACCATTTCCTGACGTTCGATTGAGCTTAAACTTTGTATACTACGTATTTTCGGTAACATCGTAATATGATGGCACCATGGAGCATATAAATTGGTACCTTCTATAGTACCATATTATGATACCACTTCCTGACGTTCATTTGGGCTCATATTTGATATATATTTACATATTTTTGATGACATTGCAATATTATGGTACCATGAAGCATATCAAGAGGTACCATAATAGTACCATATACAATACCATTTCCTGGCGTTCGATTGGGCTTAACTTGGTATAGTAAGTATCTTCGGTGACATTGTAATATGATGGTACTATGTAGCATCTACTATGATGCATATATAAAGTGGTACCTTAATATAGTACAACATTACTATACCACCTCCTGACGTTTGATTTGGCTCATATTTGATTATACTTGCGTATTTTTGATGACATTGCAATATTATGGTACCATGAATCATATCAAGGGGTACCATAATGTAGTACCATATTACGATACCATTTCCTGGCGTTCGATTGGGCCCAAATTTGATATACTTGTGTTTCTTTATAAAGATTTGTTTAATTAATAATTTTAATTTATTTTATGAATTTTAATTTATTGTACGATGTCGTGACAGCAACTTTTATGCCGAACTAATATATTATTAATTGTACCTGTGTCACTTTTTAAAATCTATCTAGGTCTATATAAATAACGTGGCAAACAGAAAAAAAATTGTTATTATAGTATTTTTTTAGTCAATTAACATTTTTTGTACTGCATTTTAATAAATCATTTCCATTATTATTAAACGTATATTTCATTACTAACGTTTCAGCATTAATAAATATCACTATCAATCGCCCTGTATATTATTAATTTTAAAGGTAGTTAAAGTTATTTTCTTAGTTAACATAATAAAGTAGTGTATATTAAAAATGCATTTTGAGAGTATATGTTTTCTAATAATATACATAAAATTAAAACTATTTTAAAAGCCAAACGAATAATTAATATAAGTGTATCTGACAAGAAACGAAGAATAGAAAGAAATTATTATACACCAAAAAAAGAATGGGATGCCAATTAAAGTCTGTTTGAATCTGGCAACTGTGCATTTTTAGCCGAGCTTCAAGGCCGTCGACGTGCCGTCGATCTACGTCGATCCAAAACCGAAAGTTGAAAATTTCCAATTATATTCTGATTATGATATTGTCGCGCCATCTAGTATTCTATTTGTGCAATTTTAGCTCTTTCATTTCGAGTATTTTTCTGTTGCGTAGCTAGATATTCTGTGCTCATAGTGAGAACTGTGATAGTATAAACAGTGATTAAAAAATGTTGACTGAGATATACCTATTTTTTAATAGTTTTGACGGCTTAACAATTATGAGCTGTTATTTTTAAACAACAATAACCCCTCAAAACTGTTAATAGATTTTTTTGACTTTATTTGTTACTTGGGAATAAGAGCTCTGCTGTTATTTAGGAATAACAGTTCTGTTTCCATTATGAAATAATAGTTCAACTGCTATTCAAAAACAGTTCTACTGATATTTAGAAAAAATATACCTTAATAAATACCTAGAAAATTACAGATAGTGAGAACTGTGATGAACAGTGATTAAAAAATGTTGACTGATATACTCATTTCTTTTTATAATTTTGACGGCTTAACAATTATGAGCTGTTATTTTTAAACAACAATAACCCCTGAAAACTGTTATAGATTTTTTTGACTTTAATTGTTACTTGGGAATAATAGTTCTGTTGTTATTTAGAAATAACAGTTCTGCTGTTATTTAGAAATAACAGTTCTGCTGTTATTTAGAAATAACAGTTCTGCTGTTATTTAGAAATAACAGTTCTGCTTTTATTTACGAATAACAGTTCTGTTTCTTATTATGAAATAATAGTTCAACTGCTATTCAAAAACAAGTTCGACTGTTATTTGAAAATAACAGTTCGTAACTGTAATTTACAAATAACAGTTGAGCTGTTACCTAGAAATAGCAATTTTATTTAGCTCTACATTAAAATGCGCTTGTGCCGTTTATTTTATTGCTGAAACTGCTATTTGGCACGTGCTAAAGCTAATTAATTTAACTTACTTTCTATGCTACGGGGATCGCCCAGTGCTGGATTGTCTTCGTAAACCGTTTTCATCTTCATCAGAGCGTCCCTGGCTGCCACTTCTTGGCTAATTTTGTTCTTCAGTTCTTCTACTTTCTGCTGTAGCTTTTTCCGTCGCTGATTGGGCGGTAGATCGCTCAAGTCCTCCTTTCCGTCAGCAACAGTAGCGTTCTAGAATAATTAATATTTGATTTAGTTAAATTATTAGTAAATATTAGTTCTTAAACACCTATAGATGAAACTAAAGCGCATAGATATGTACTTTCATTTTGGTATTTTACAAGTTACAATATCAGTACAATATGTTGTTACAGAATGTAATAAATACAGAGTGACATGATACAAAATGTTTAAACAAATAACACACAGTAAAAAGCCGATCAAAGCACGTACCTTTATGGCCATACAGACATCTGTAAGCTTCTGTACGCATGAAAATAATAAAAAGCATTAAGTATGAGGATAGAAAAACCTTAATGGGGAAAATCTAATGTAAAATCCAAAAAAAGAGAGTTAATCTATCTAAATATTTTATGTGGCAACGCAAATTCACAATAAAAAAAATAGAAAAAAATAAATATCACAAAAAAAACAATTTAAAAAAATATATAAATAATAAAAAATCTCAAACTTTCATTATACTACACAAAAAATAGTTTTCGTTGTTTTAACTGAAAGTAACTATTTTACGATGGTAGTTAACATAGTGTGCAAAAGTGCTAAACATATTTTGCAATGTAGTGGAAGATTGCAGTAAAATATCTCTAATACAAAATTAAAAAATTGTGCATGAAAAACATGTATAGTATGATCGAGAAACTAAACGGCGTTATTTTTAATAAATTATAGGGACTGAATGAAAAAAATACCGTCGTACGGTATTTTTTTGTTGAATTTATTTGACGGATTTTTTTAATGAATCATTTTACAATATGCAATATAAAATATAACGAATAATATAAATGGTTTAGGCAGCATTATGTTTTTGTTTTGTGCATCAGTTGTACAATTCAACACAAAAAGGTGGAAATATTTATACATGCGCATGCTTAAAACGTGTACACACATATGCCAAAATTTCTTTTACTTACTATTTAGGAATTGGCAAGGTTCAGAACCAGGCATCAGCGAAGTAAAGAAGAAAATAAAATAAAGAAAAAACAAACATTACTTAAAAATACACTCAGATATGCAATAAGTATTATAATAAGTATTATTGCAATAATAAGTATTATTTGAATAAGTCTAATAATTCTTAAGTGTATTAATACAGGTTTCTTGTCTCTTAAATAAGGATAATTATTTTAAGGGATGGTAGATCTATACAAGAGGACCATATTTTCTAACTGTCATTTTTTAAATAAATCGAAAAGGAGGTGGCAACAAAATACTTGAACTTATTTAAGAGACATGCTGTATATAAAATTTATTAATGCCCCGATGTTTTCAACAATCCATAATTACGTCCAAATAAACCATCAACAATACTTGTATGCATTTTTATCTCGGCAAATTGTTTAGAAAATTATTTGTAACGTTTGAAAAAAAATAGCATGTTCTATTCCAAGTAAAAATGTACTTTTTGTGCCTCGCCTGTTCTTTTTGTCAAACATACCTCGCCTCGTCGCAAAAAGTATCATTTTTACTCCTAATAAAAGAATATAGTATTCTCATTTTATATCTATTAATTTTCAGATACTTTTACCAATAATTCAAAATACCTACTTCAAAACTTTATGCTTCTATATTTAAAAAAACTGTGCTCCTATGCAATCAAAAATAAACCTAAATTTCTATAATTGAAACTCACCCCTCTGCTTCCGAAAATATTAAATATTCCAGCTCTCTTCTTCATAGCCTTGCCTGTGATGGTGCCTTTCACTGTATAACCGCCTTCTTTAATTTTACCCCCGACCTGTATATTGTTTATGTTGTTCGAACTGCCTGAATCACTGCCACCTTTTGACAGATCTTCGAAGGGGAAGTCGTCAGGAGGTTGAAAACCCGATTTGAATTTTTCTATCACCAAAAGCGTATCCTAAAATAGATTTTAGTGGTTAAATTACAATACAGGGTGGCCCATCAAAAACGCTCCGCAAGGCATAACGACCAGGGTAATTTTTTTTCAGAAAATTCAAAAACACGTCAATTTTGTTTGTGATGGGGACAACTTTTGCCCCAAAAATGATTGCAAAATCTTCAACCCTTTAAGCGGGGGCGTCATACCCCAATTTTTTTCAAATGGGAAGGGGGGTCAAGTGGTACCGCAATGAAAAGAGCTTTCTATTCTCTATACTTTCCGGCTTCGTTTTTGAAAATCGGTCGAGTTATTGAGAAAATATGAAGGATTGAAATTTGAAAAGTTTATTTAAACATTTATCAGAGTAAATGAGAAGGATAAATTTCTTCGACCAATTTGCTGTTTATATTATTATTTCTAGATGTTTACGCATTTTTTCACTTGTCACAAGGTTGAACGATCAGGTGCGGTAGTTGCTAGATAGCTGTTCTGTGACTTATGCGTTGAAGTTTACTCAATATCGTTAAATTTTTTAACAATTATTATGGTGTACTCACTTGCAGAAAAAGTGGAAATAATCGAACTTTATTTTAAAAATAATGAATGTGCCAATCGAGTTGCGCAGATATTCAATGAACGCCATCCTGACAACCACCTTTATGGCAAAATTGTTCGCGAGTTAGTAGCAAAGTGTCCAAAGGATATTAAAAAACGGAAGTTCCACCCGTACAAAATTCAGTTGGTACAAGAACTCAACAAAGACGATTTTGATCGTCGCTTGCAATTTTGTGAAACTATGAGTGAACGAGTGGCGAATGATAATAATTTTCTATTTAATGTGTGTTTTTTGGATGAGTGTACTTTCTTTTTGAACGGTGTAGTTAATCGGCACAACTGGTCGGTACTGGGCTGAAGACAACCACAGGGTTTTTCACGAGGCGCACACACAAAACCCCCTCATAATTTGAACGGTTGGGCTGATATTTTTAGAAATTCTACTGTGAGTCAGTTTAACGATATTAAGAAGAACTTCAACGCACAAGTCACAGAACAGCTATCTAGCAACTACCGCACCTGATCGTTCAACCTTGTGGCAAGTGAAAAAATGCGTAAACATCTAGAAATAATAAGAAAAAACCTCAAATTGGTCGAAAGAATTTATCCTTATCCTTTACTCTGATAAATGTTTCAATAAACTTTTCAAATTTCAATCCTTCATATTTTCTCAATGACTCGACGGATTTTCAAAAACGAGGCGGGGAAATATAAAGAATAGAAAGGTCTTTTCATTGCGGTGCCACTTGACCCCCCTTCCCATTTGAAAAAAGTTGGGGGATGACACCCCCGCTTAGAGGGTTGAGATTTCGCAATCATTTTTGGGGCAAAAGTTGTCCCCCTCACAAACAAAATTGACGTGTTTTTGGATTTTTTGAAAAAAAGAATACCCTGGCCGTTATGCCTTGCGGAACGTTTTCGAACGTATTCCCTGTATGATTAAGCCTTTTATGAAACACTATTAAATGTATTTTTGTATTTGAGACAATTTACCACTGGTTGGATCAATGACTAAAGAATACAAGGACGCGTAATTATAGGCCGCCATTTTTTTTGGTGCCAAAAGAAGTAGCTGATGCCGGAGACAATTGTAGCGATTTTTAATAGTTTGTTAGTATGGCCGTTTTATACGTATAAAACGATTAAAATGTATATTTTGTCCTCTTCAAACCACTTAAAAAACACTTAGGTGGCGCCCTCTATAAGTAAGTCATATTAACATCGAAATCAAATTTCTAATTTCAAAGAACTCTTAAACACCAATTTTCATCCAAACCTCGACAATAGTTCAGAAATTATTTGAAAAAATAGAATCTTTCACACCCTGTATCTCCGAAACAAAGTGTTTTAGGACATAAATTTATACGAACTTTTTTACTTATTTTTATCTGCAGAATATGCTGCCGAAGTTTCCCGAATACAATTCGGGCCACCTTGTATAAAATCAGTAGCTCTCAAACATTTTTGTCACGTACGACACCTAACATTTTGAGAACTATAGTTACAAAGTATCTCACCTCTTTTTCATTTATAACGTTGGAAGCTTTCAAAATCCCATCCAGACACTTGTTGATGATAGGAAATACGTTTCTTTCGATCTTCACCGAGCTCCTGATGAAATTCTTGATGTTTTTAATACGTTTTTCGTCCATGTCTTGTAAACGCCTGAAGACTTCCGGAAGACCAGAGAGAAAATGCTGCGTTTGCAATTGGTTGGTTTGTTGGAGCTGGACAGCGTACTCGTTTTTCGCATGGTCGCAGGCCTGCGTTTTGTGCGCCATGTTCGTTCTGTGTTTCTCTACCTAAAACAGAATACAGTATATTAATAGGAACTACAACAAAAATGACGGATTCACATAGTGAACTAACTTTTAAAGTCCCATTTTTAGGGTTCCGTACCCAAAGGGTAAAAACGGGAACCCTATTACTAAGACTTCGCTGTCCGTCCGTCCGTCTGTCACAAAGATCTATCTTATGAACCGTTATAGCTAGACAGTTGAAATTTTTACAGATAATGTATCTATGTTGCCGCTATAAGAACAAATACTAAAAACAGAATTAAATAAATGTTTATAAATAAAAAAGTACTTTCACTAAACATTATCTTTTAAGTAAGAATTTTACATAGAATCTTGCAAGTCCTTGGTGGCCGCGTGGTTTAAAGCGTTAGGACTTTCCGCTGCTATGACGTTGGAGCCGTAGTAAGGCAGGTTCGAATCCTGGTCAAGGCGACTTTTTTTTAATTTTTACATATTTGTTATTGATTAATACAATTTTTAGTAATGTGTTTCTTCATTTTTTTTAAATTACTTATACGCGCATTCAAAATTTCAGCTAAATCGGAAAAAAAAGTTTATAATAATACAGTGGCTAACGTTGTATAGATAATGAATAGTACGGAACCCTTCGTGCGCGAGTCCGACTCGCACTTGACCATTTTTTTATTCCCATGATATTTTAATATTATCTATGCCCAATTACTCATCATTATTTTATTTAATTTTATGGTTATTTTAATAAAAGAAGTCAATAGGACGTGAAACAAACCGCTTTTAGGCAGAATTGTGCTCCTGATGGCATGTTCCATCCACATCTGAAGACATGGGGGGTTTCTTTTACACCCTCTGGTATTTTAACTTTATTTAGTAGAGGAAGTCGTTAGAAGAAAGTTAAAAAGATTGTTTAAACTTTATAAAAACATTTATTCCAGTTCAGGTAAACACAAAGAAAGACGTATTATTCGATTTTATTTTTGTATTATACAGGGTGTCCCAATATTCCGTGGACATATACGTATTTTTTGGATCAAAATAAGTTAATTGCACATAATTTACCTTTATACAAAAGTGCTTGGTTTGTCCGTTAGGGGGCATCCGTTAGAAGTCAAAGATAAAACCGAACGTTAATTAATTTAAAAACTATTAATTTTTTATGCTTTTTATGAGGCTTATCGTCAAATATAATTTGTGATGAATGTAGAATGTAGAATAATTTATGATACTAACATAAAAGATTTTAACATAATAGATTTTATGCGCCTCCATAACTTAATTAACAAAAAACACTTTTTGGAAGTCAGCTTTCGAAAAATACTTTTTTCCTCAAAGTATGCACGGTGGCGATTTTTTACAAGAGACAAAAAATGTAGTAAATACTAGAGGGACCATTTTACGAAAAGAAAATCGGCCGTCGTCGGTAGAGTTGGAAAATATTTATACTAAAATTTATGTGGGGTGGGGGTAGTTTCCACCCTTCCCGTACTTTTTCTTGATTTTTGTGGACTCCAAATTTTAGAGCACTTAGCAAAACATAGACACCCAAAATCTCATTCAAATCGGAATAACGGTTTTTAAAATATCTGAAAAAATCTGTTTATTTTTTTAAAGTTTGATGCCCTCTAGCGGACAAACGAAGCACTTTTGCATAGAGGTAAATTGTGTCCAATGAACTTATTTTGATTCCAACAATACGTACTAGTTCTATGTCCACGGAGCAATGGGACACCCGGTATATTATAATCGGCAAGCCCAGGGAATATTTTAACGCAAGTTTTCTATGAGTAAATAAATCCAAGATAGTTTCTTTCATGTTAGTTAAAACGAAAAAAAAAGTTTTCAATAAGAACTAGTTTTCGAGTTTTATAACCATGAAGTATTTCTTGGCTTACCTCGGCTCTCGATAAATTGAAGTCTGCATCCGCCTTTTGAAAGCCTTCAATCGCCTTTTCAGCTTCTTTGAACGCTTTTTCGTAAGCCTTCTTCGCTCTCTGTAAATTTTCGATTTGCGTTTGTAGCTGTTGCTGCAGTTTCTGGCCTTCTTGTAATTGTTTCTGAAAAAATACCACAATTAATATGAAAGAAGTAGGTAAATATAGATACAGTAAAACAATTGCTTTGATTCCACAATTTTGTTTTTGTTTTTTTTTCGTTTTCTCTGTTTGATTCATGTGCTTCACAGAAAATTCAGTGCAAATGGCGACATTGCCTTTCCTTCTGTATAATCCCCCAGTTTTTCTTATTTAAAATTACTTTTAAAAATAGTTAATTTTTGATAAAAAAAGCAAAAATCGTGTGTTTGGATAGTTCACCGGACCTCTTTTTAGGTTTCTTAAAATTTCAGGATCAGTTGAAAAAAATATTATATACAATTATATACAGGGTGGTCCGAAATGTATTCCGGAAACTTCGGCAGCATATTCTGCAGATAAAAATAAGTAAAAAAGTTCGTATAAATGTATGTCCTAAAATGCTTAGTTTCGGAGATACAGGGCGTAGAAGTTCCATTTTTATTTCGATTTTTTCCAAATAATTTCTGAAGTAACGTCAATATTTGGATGAAAACTGGGGTCTGGTAATATTTTGACATGAACAATTTTATTTTTATGTCAATATGACTCCTATTTGTAGAGGGCGCCACCTACATATTTTTAAACTGGTTTGAAAAGCAATAACTTTTCGTCCATATCTGTATAAAACCACTGAGCAAATATACATTAACGACGTTTTTTACGTAGAAAGGTCCCTTGGTAAAAATCGCTACCGAGTAATGGTACTTGAGATATTTGGAACCGAAATTATCAATGCCTGTCATCACTGTCATAAATTAAACACGTTGACTAAATAGTTATTAGGCCGAAATCATAAAGTTGACATGTTTTTGTGCCAAATGTTCAACAGAAACTGTTTTATCATTTTTTTAAGTAAAATTTATGATTAATTTAAAAAAATAAAAAGTTATTTCAGTCAAATAACTATCTACTCAACATGTTTATTTTTTGTCAATAATGACATGTATTGACTCCATTCTAAATATGTTGAGAACGGTTGCTCTTAGCAATTTTTACCAAAAGACATTTTTTACGTAAAAAATCACGGAAATGTATATTTTTCACTCAGTAGTTTTATACAGGTACGGACGAAAAGTTATTACTCTTCAAAACAGTTAAAACACATGTAGGTGGCGCCCCCTACAAATAGGAGTCATATTGACGTCAAAATCAAATTTATCATGTCAAAAAACTCCCAGACACCAAGTTTCATCCAAATATCGACGTTACTTCAGAAATTATTTGGAGAAAATCGAAATAAAAATAAAACTTCTACACCCTGTATCTCCGAAACTAAGCATTTTAGGACCTACATTTATACGAACTTTTTTACTTATTTTTATCTGCAGAATATGCTGTAGAAGTTTCCGGAATACAGTTCGGACCACCCTGTAGATACTATAAAAACATTCGAATCTTACTTTTCTTTCCTCTCGTAGGTCCTTAACTAAAACTGTTAGTTCTTTTATCACATAGGCTTGTAAATCTTCAGCGACGACTTCATGCTGACCGGCAAGATCGTTGATTTCATTCATGAGGGCTTTGAAAGCTTTGCACGACGTGAATCTGGAACAAAGTGTCATTTTTAGATACGCACACGCTGGCACAAACACAAACAAAAATATCCAGAAAATATGTCACTAATGATTTCTAAAAATAGAAGCTTTATTTTAGTTTGAGTTGTAAAACTGCAATACTTAGTTTTCAGACTATACGGATGTCGTTAAAAGTGTAGGTATCTTTAGGTACTTTTTTTTTCGTTGAAATACAGGGTGATACTCTAACTAGGAATAATTTTAGTAAAACAAAGATATCTGTTTTTTTTTCACAGGGGATTTTTTTGGGACACGTCGTATACCCAAGATATACAAAATAACGGTAAACAGAGAAATGACAGGTTGTCACTTATTTATTAAAAAAATATATCAAAAAAGATAGTAATATGCTTATTATTATGGTATACCGGGTGTTTCGCAAAAGTGGCCCACCCCCATAACTTTTTATTTTTTCAGATATAAAAACCAGATTTGGTATGTTAGTATATGACATAAATCAGGATTGATTGACGTATTCAATTGTTTTCGGTGATTTCCTGTTTCACCGGAAAGAACTACAATTAATTATTGATTTTTAAATGGCACCCTAGGTATTTTTTTACTATATTCGGTAGAAAATGTATTTTAAATTTCCATCCAGAGTGCCATGGCCATGTTAAAAACACTACTTTTTAATCAAGGAATCTTGAAAAAATAGATTTGATCGTCTAATGTTTTTCGTGCCTTATTATGGGCGGTTAATAGCATATTTGGTAAAAGCATTTTTTAAGAATGATTTGGTATCACACACTTGGCATTTCGAGTCAAATTGTCGTTACATTTATGGCCATGGCACTCTAAATTAAAATTTAAAATGCTATTTTTTTAATTGAAAATGTCAAAAGTTGACACATGATATGTCATTCTATTAAAGGTGTCATTCTTTATCAAATGAAGTAAAAAAAATCCCGAGGGTGTCATTTAAAAATCAAAAGTTGTAGTCATTTCCGGTGAAACAGGAAGTGACCGAAAACAATTCAATAAGTCAATCAATGCTGATTTATGTCATATACTAACGTACCAAATCTCGTTTTTTTTTATCTGAAAAAATAAAAAAGTTATAGAGGTGAGCTACTTTTGAGAAACACCCGGTATATGGGCTTATCATATTTTTCAATGTTTTAACATCAATACCATCACTAATCCTAAAATTTTGTAACACAGTATCGCTAGCAATTTCAATCATTGCCTTTTACCGGGGCTAATTTAAAATACAAACTTTTCAGACGTCCCTCGTAAATAAAACCACACAAAACGTAGAAAAATCATTACACAACACTACTTGCGATAAGAAATACTGAATTCCATAACCGGTATTTCGAGTATTTTACTATACCACGACCAGTTTCCGAACATTGAACAAATCAATCGACTCGACAAAATACAAATCATATACACTTTCAATTTTATGGGAAATTTTTACGGTAGAATAGCGTTTCTCCACTGGCAGATGAAGAAAAAACAGTTGAAAAGATATTATAATAACAGTTAAGGCTTGTTAATAAAGATACGGAATAATATGTTAATTGACTTAATAGTTAAAAAGGAGGCTATTACAGAAAACCGCCTGGCGTGTAATAAATACCATAACGCGTAGCGACTATAACGGAAAAAATATGATAGGAATTGGGTTATATCGGTTACAGAATCGCATTCCTAAATCCGGATTATCCTATAGTGCATCTCACGTAAATATCGTATATGAAGGGTCCAGGGGAAAAACTTGATAAGCGCCAATTTCTTAATTATAGAATTTTACAATATTATAGTAGGTCTAACTGGTCCCTACATAATGTATAAACATGCAGGGCAATAAGTTGTTAAATACTATGATCTATATTTTTATTAGGTATAGTAAAAATATAGAATACACGCAAAGAACCTGGTAACGGCCAGCCGTCTAGTGCTCTCCTGTAAAATTAGTAATATGGCGCTTATCACGTTTTTCCCGTGGACCCTTCATATGCTAATGCTTTGATTCAAACGAAAAATACCTACTATTTACCTCTTTTATTTTTCATTACTATCTACAACCCAATGATAACATTATTTTATTTCCATATCATGATTATGATTATCTGATAAAATAAAAAAATGGTCAAGTGCGAGTCGGACTCGCGCAGAAGGGTTCCGTACCATTCATTATCTATACAACATTAGACACTATATTATTATAAACTTTTTTTCCGATTTAGCTGAAATTTTGAATGCGCGTATAAGTAATTTAAAAAAAATGAACAAACACATTACTAAAAATTGTATTAATCAATAATAAATATGTAAAAAGTAAAAATAAATATGTAAAAGTATGTAAAAATTAAAAAAAAAACGCTTAAAAAAAGGTGCCTTGACTAGGATTCGAACCTGCCTTACTACAGCTCCAACGTCATAGCAGCGTAAAGTCCTAACGCCTTTAACCACGTGGCCACCGAGGACTTGAAAGATTCTATGTAAAATTCTTACTTAAAAGATAATGTTTAGTGAAAGTACTTTTTTATTTATAAACATTTATTTAATTCTGTTTTTAGATTTTGTTCTTATAGCGGCAACATAGATACATTATCTGTAAAAATTTCAACTGTCTAGCTATAACGGTTCATAAGATAGACCTTTGTGACAGACGGACGGACGGACGGACAGCGTCTTTACCCTTTGGGTACGGAACCCTAAAAAGTTATAGGGGTGAGCCACTTTTGAGACGCACCCGGTATATATATATATATATATATATATATATATATATATATATATATATATATATATATATATATATATATATATATATATATATATATATATATATATATGCCTAATAATATATTATTTTGTTTAATCTTATGATAATTTAGTAAAAGAAGTCATTAGCAAGCCGATTTTAAGTAGAATGGTGCTCCTACTCCTAATGGCATGTTCCATCCACATCTCAAAACATGGATGGTTTCTTGGACACCTAATAATATCTAATTATTATTTGTGACCAATGACATATTATTTATTTTTTATTTTGGTTTAGAAAGTAAGTTTTCTTTATTTAGTTTGAAAAACACACAGTATTTAAGAAGTTTAAATAAAAGTATTCTTGAACAAGAACTATAGATTTTATGATTAGGTATAAAGAATAATTTCTTCAGTAATATCCAAATTGAGTTGTCAAGATGTTGATAGACATTTATTTAGCAAAAATAAAAAAAAATATTGAAGGGTTTTATAGATCATAATGCCTTGTAATACAGTATACCGGGGCGTCTCGAAAGTGGCTCACCCCTATAACCTATATCTTTTTTTTTTTTTCAGATAAAAAAACGAGATTCGGTTGATTAGTGTATTATGACATAAATTAGGATTCATTGACTTATTCATTTGTTTTTGGTCACTTCCTGTTTCACCGGAAATGACTAGAACTTTTGATTTTTAAATGGCACCCTCGGTATATTTCTACTATATTCGATAGAAAATGACACTGACTAGAATGACATATCATAGGTCAACTTTTGACATTTTCGCTTCAAAAAAATCGTTTTTTAAATTTCAATCTAGAGTGATGGCTGTGTTAAAAACACTATTTTTTAATCAAAGAGCCTCAGAAAAATAGATATGATCGTCTAATGTTTTCGTGTCTTGTCCTGGCCGGTTTAAAGATGCCCAAATCGTATTTTTAATCATATCTCAACTTTTCAAATGGAACAAGGGTGGCTCATTAGCAAATTTGGAAAAAGCATATTTTTACGAATAATTTGGTACCACACAATTGGTATTCCGAGTCAAATTGTCATTACGAACCGCATGTTACAATTTGAAATAAACCATATGCGAAAATGGCAAACGTTGACACATGATGTTATTTTATTCGAGAGAGTATCATTTTCTATCGAATAAAGTAGAAATATACCGAGGGCGCCATTTAAAAATCAAAAGTTGTAGCCATTTCCGGTGAATCAGGAAGTGACCAAAAACAATTGAACACGTCAATTAATCCTAATTTATGTCCACATACTAACATACTAAATATTTTTTTTTATCTGAAGAAATAAAAAAGTTATAGGGGTGAGTGACTTTTGAGACGCACCCGGTATATCAATTAAAGGCTTCAATTACATAGGTACTGGGTACTGTTTTAAAAACATTGCACGTTCAAATTCTTTGACATACGCAACACGATTTAATTCACCAAAGATTGCAGTAACACTTTTTTTTTTCGTTCTAAATAACTCAAATTACCAATTTTATTGTCAAAAAAAATAATCTCAAGGTTCTCTACGCGGAACCGGTATACAAATTTAACCGCGAAACACGTTCATATTTGAGAATTTAATGTTTTTTTCGGGAGTTGAATGTTTTGAAAGTGGTAGCCGGACTATTTTTAGAAGCCGGTGGCTTATTTTTAGGCGGGCCGTTTTATTTTACAAGCCATTTCATTTCGGTGAAAATTGAACGTTTTTATTTGAGAAAACACTACTTAAGAAGATTTTCCACTTTGTTTATCGCCAAAGCGTTGTGGGTTCGGAACGTCCAGAAATACTTTCAATCGACGATGACTTGGCCGATTTATTTTTATATAAATTCTTTCTATTTTGCGCAATGTTTAATATTTTATCGAGTAGCTTCATTCAGAACTTACGTCTTTTCTGGAATTCGCAATAATGTCACAAGTTCTGACACAAAATATCCTTCTAAATTTACTTCCTCTAAACAAAACCAATTTGAAAAATAATTAATATTTATTATACCTAAGCTCATAAAAGTATAACTAATCCGCAAAATTTCAAATCAAATTCAAATGTGTCAATTGAAACGTCAAACAGAACTGTCAATTGTCAAATTTCGTCTTCATATACATGAATATCATTATACTCCTTCCTTAATCGTTTAGTTGAAGAATATAATCAAAGACATAACAACATGACAACCCCTAAAAACTTTCAAGAAGTAATGGGATGAAACAAACAATAGCAAACGAGTTAAACAAAACTT